GCAGGTTGGATTTGAGTGTGGTCTAGGCAGAGAGAAGGGTTTGTCCTGGAGTTCTCTGACCAAGTGCTCGCACAGAGGATCCTGGAAGACACAGGGTGATGGAAACATCTCTGTGGTCCACCCTGCAGCCTTGCTGTTTCCTGGGAGACACAGCCTTATATGACCTGAGATCCCCATGCCATCCCCAGCTGAGGGACACAGCTTGGCTGTGAGGCCAGGAGGACATGCACAGGCAAATCCAGAGCCTGTGTCAGGCAAAATGCCAGGCTGGGTAGTTATCCTGTGGGCACTGAAGGTGAATTATGGCACCAGCACCCATGGAGCAGGCACAAATCACAGGGCTGTCAGGAACAGGGGAAAGGCAAAGCCCGCCATCCTCCCCAGAAGGATTGATGGATTCAGGTCCTGGGTCTGGGTTCAAGATGATTGGATTTTATGATGTTTCATTTCCCCAGATGTTCCTGGTGAAAAGCTTGTCACCCAGGACTGTGTATGTGTGAGTGTGTGCATGTATTTATCACCATACATGCCTTGCTGGGACTATGCAGGAGAGTGACTTTTTGCAGAGCTCGCTGTATGGTTCTGATTTTATTTTTGTGTGACTGAATTGTGTGAATGTTGTAGGAGTGTGAGTTTTGTGTTAAATAGGACTGGGTGTGGCTCTTCACAAGGATGAAGCTCAAGTTTCAAGACTGAGTTTCTGGCTATACAAGACTGTGTCTATTGGAGAATGAGTTAGAGGTCTTGAGTTGGTGTGTCTGGGTGGCTGATGTGGATACAAATCAAGAAAGGGAAAAGAGGAGTGAAAGCAGATTGGGAAGGACAGTTTTGGGTGCAATAAGTCTGAGGTCTTGGCAGAACATCAAGGAGAGACATCTAGAAAAGCCGGACAAGAGCTCAGAGGACAGTAAAGGGCAGGAGGGCATTGGCCTGGGCTGCCTTCCAAATGCATTCAGATGACAATGCGTTGGGATGGTGGCATTTGGCTGGAATGAGGAAAACACATTTATGTGAGCACGCGTGCACACACACACTCACCCATCCACCCACACCCACCCACACACTCACACTCATGTTTGAAGACTGAAACGATACATGCTATAAACCCAGCTAGACAGAGCTCAACAGGAAATTTCCAAGGGTTGCTGGATGCACCCGAGGGTGAGAGTCAGGGAACTCTTCCTGGCAGTGGTGAATATTCAAGGGAATCAGAAGGAAAGAAGGATGCAGAGGGAAGAGGAGAATCTTATGATTTTAAGGATGGTGGGGATAGGGACAGACTATGTAAGACTTGGGGCAGGAACAGCAAACCACTTTGATGACAGTGAGCTCCTAGAAGGCAGGGGTTGTTTATTCATTGAGGCATTTCTAGTACCTAGCGCAGGGGTAGGCAATCTGTATGTTGAATTAACTGGAATTTAGTTGACTTGGAGTCAAATTCTGAACCACTATAACTGTGGAGAGTCTAGGTTTACTGAAGGAGAACTTTGAAATCCACACGTGACACTGGATGCGGGCTGATGGGAAGGGGAAGGGAGTGTTAGGTGGAGGCGCCTTCCACTGGCAGCCTGCCCCATTTTTCATCCACACAGGCTTCTGCACACTCCCTTCCTCCATGACCTGCCTCCCAAGCTCTGAGTACTAAACCATCATATTGCAATCTCCCTCCTCATTGCTTCCCAGTCTTCTCAAGCCCTGACCTTGACTCAGTTTCCTCATAGCCTTGCCAGGCTCAACATGTAGAACAGTTTCTGTCTGATCTTTAGCTGAATAAGCCGGGGGGGGGGGGGCAGAAAAAGGGCAGCTGAGCTGGGGAGCACCCAAGACTTGGGCAGAGCCTGTTTATCCCCAGTTACAGGAACAGGAATGTAATTCACAAAAGGTACAAGTTATATTTGAGGGATCCAAGATTCAAGACGAGGTGAAAGATCTAAAATGAGGTTTCTGGGGAAGAGAGAGAAAGAAGTCTTTGTTGCCATAACTTGAGCATCAACAATGCTCTAGCAGGTAAGAGGGGTCCTGTGGCCAGGAGTCTTACACTGTGCTCGTCACAAATTTGTGTGGACAGGGGTCAGCCTCAGAGGCTCAGGCAGGGAGCAGGGGGCACCTGGGTCCAGATATACAGCATGCTTTTGGATGCTAGTAACAGATCTCCGACTCAGCAGCCGTAAATAAGAAAACATGGCCAGGCTCGGTGGCTCACACCATTAATCCCAGCACTTTGGGAGGCCAAGGTGGGTGGATCACCTGAGGTCAGGAGTTTGAGACCAGCCTGGCCAACATGGTGAAACCCCGTCTCTACTCAAAATACAAAAATTAGCCAGGTGTGGTGGTACAGGCCTGTAATCCCAGCTACTCAGGAGGCTGAGGCTTGAGAATTGCTTGAACCCGGGAGGCAGAGGTTGCAGTGAGCCGAGATTGTGCCATTGCACTCCAGGTTGGGTGACAGAGTAAGACTCTATCTCAAAAAAAAAAAAAAAAAAAAAAAAAAGCACTATTTGTCATAATAGGAACTCCCTCCAGAGAGGGAGGTTGAGCTTTCATACGGTGGCTCAATGATATCATCAAGGGCCTGGGTTTGTTCTGTCTTTTGTTGCTATCTTGAGTGTACTGACTCTGTCCTCAGGATGGCTCCCTTCAAAGTCACAAAAGAACTGCCCCAGATCCAGGCATCCCCAGACACCACAGTGCCAGGGAGAAAAAAATCCACTCTGCCTCTGGGTATCTCTGGGTGAGAAACCTTTCCCAGAAGCCCCCATCAGATGCTTAGTCATATTCCTCCTTACTTTTCCATTCTAAAGGCATCAGGCAAAGGGGCTGGGACGGCCAGTACTGATTCATGCCAGCTAGGATCCTCCCTGGGGGTGGCCTGGGCTTGGGCCTGGGCCTAGCTGCTCTGAAGTATATAGTCCCCATATAGGAAGAAGAATCCTTAAACACAAGCAGACTCCTGTTAGGAACAAGCGGGTTGATACTGGGTAGGCAATGAATTATCTCTGCTCCACCACGCTTCTACCAGGGCCAGAGGGTAGTGGGTGCAAGACAGAGCTGCAGGCAACTTGTCAAGGCCAGAGCTCCACATGTGGAGACCAAACCTAGGATCCAGTCATTTGAGATTAGGCTTTGTATCCTCTTAGTGGAATCAATGGACAGTTCAAGCTACTAATCAAAACCTCATCACTGTCCCAACACCTTCTATGCCCATTTCAAAACTAAAATCCCTCACAGGGCTTGTGCAGCCCTGTATGATCTAGTGTCTGCTTTGTAAGCTTCGTCGGGAGTTGCTCTCTCTCCTCTCCTTGCATATGCAGTGTACCTTCCTGCATCAGGGCCTTTGCACATGCTGCTCTCTCAATTTTCTCCCTTTTACTTCCCTGCCTCCTTCTCCTCACTCTGCAGTACACTCTAAAAATCTCCTTAGTGCCCTCAGAGAACTTGTTGTCTATATACCTTGCTAGATTGCAGGCTTATTGAGGTCAAGGAAGGTGTCTATTGTATGGTACGCTCTGCTGGCCTTCCTAAATGGTGCTTGGCACACATTAGGCATTTGACAAATATCTGTTGAATGTATGAATGAATGACTTCTACAACTAGGGACAGGCTTGGTCCTGAGCTTTGGGCAGGGCTGATGGGTGGGTGGTTGATGAGGAGCCTGGTCTGTTGGAAGCCCCTGATGCTCTCTGAGCCCAGAAATGACATGACCACAATGGGCTCAAGGGCAGTAAGGACACCAATGTGCACAGGAGGGGTAAGAAGGCCAGCCAGAACCCTGTGCTCATCATGTAGGCATTAGGTTCCAGCTACAGAACCAGTGTTCAGAGAATTGGTAATGCCCTTATGAAGACATGATAGGTTGAAGTGGTGAGTGTTGGGGGCAATATCTCTGAGTGGTGGTGTCAGAGACCTGTTGCAAAATAAGGATGGTAATAGCATCTACCTTACAGATAGTCACTAAGAAGAGTACACAAAGCGTCCAAAGAAAGTAGTCTAGTGTCAAGAGGTGCTCAGTAAGTAATTAAACGTTGGCTTTGCCCTTACCAGGTATTTTGTTTTGTTGTTTTGTGACAGAGTTTTGCTCTTATTACCCAGGCTGGAGTGCAATGGTGTGATCTTGGCTCACTGCAACCTCTGCCTCCTGGGTTCAAGCGATTCTCCTGCCTCAACCTCCCAAGTAGCTGGGATTACAGGCATGTGCCATCACACCTAGCTAATTTTGTATTTTTAGCAGAGACAGGGTTTCACCATGTTGGCCAGGCTGGTCTTGAACTCCTGACCTCAGGTGATCCACCCGCTTCGGCCTCCCAAAGTGCTGGGATTACAGGTGTGAGCCACTGTACCCAATCACTGGGTTCTTAACCTAAGCAATTTACTGTTCCAGTCTCCAACCCAAGCTGGTTGTGAATTAATCCTGGTTCTTCCTCATTCCAACAAGAACTCCCAGCATGCGATACACCAGGGCTATGCTCTCTGCAACTCTTTAACTTTCCTGAGCCTCTATTTTTTTTTAATCTAGTTAAACGGGAGTAACCTCTATTTCTTTATCTAGTTAAATAAATGGGGGTAGTAACACCCTAAAATGTATTATCTTATTTGACCCTCATATCCCCTAGCTGATATGAGGGTCAAATAACACATCTCAGGGTGCTTTAGAAACTGCAAAGGACTGTTAACATGTAAAGAATTACTGTTCCTAATATTTTGTTGGAGTTGGGCTCATTCCTGGGCCTGGCATCTGCTTTGACTTTCTCAGTTCCTGTTTCTTGCCAGTCTCCGTTTTCTCATAGCCACCCACAATTCTGGCACTGACAGTGTAAGGATATAAGATGATATCCAGGGAGTTTGAATGTAGAAGGAAAAAGAAGGAACATGACAACAGCCAGCAGCCCTCTCTCTTGTTCCCAGGCTTACCACCTTTCCAAGTCGGCAGACCCCAAACCTGAGCACCATCCATGTGCCAGTTAGCTATTGCTGCATAACAAACCACTCCAAAACTCAGGGACTTAAAACAACCATTTATTGTCCCTCATGGTTCTTGGGGTTGATTCTGATGGGTAGTTCTACCTTTCAGACACTTGTAGAATTGTAATCAGAGGGTGGTTGGGGCTGGAGTCCTCTGAAAGCTTGGCTGGACTGGACATTCAAGACGGCTTCTTTCACTCATATGGCTGGCATCTGGGCTGGAATGGCTGGAACAGATCGTGGCTGGCCAGCTCTCTCTCTCTCTTTTTCTCCATGCAGCTCCTCTATATGGCTTCTTTGGACTTTCTCATAGCATATGGTCTTGGCATAGTTGGATGTCATGGCAACTGGCTTCTCCCAGAGTGGGCATTCTAGACGACCAAGGTGGACATTTTATGGCTTCTTCTGACCTAGCCTCAGAAGTCACAAGGCCTCACTTCTATTGCATTTTATTAGTTACACAGGGTCAGTCCCAATTCAATGTGGGAGGGGAATACACAAGAGCATGACTACTTTCAGCCACAGCTCATTGGGGAGCTGTCTTTGGAGACTAGCTAGCAAGATCCTTGTCTGGTAATTGAAACACTGCTCCATGGTGCCCTCTCAGAGGCCAGGATTTGGCAGGGCGGCAAGGCAGGCAGCAGTGAAGCACTGAGCAGCTAGGACTCCTGGCCCCCAACTTCATTTAACATGCATTTATTATGAATTATTATTTTACATTTTGACGTTTTACAAAGAATTTAATGTAAATTGAAAGTTCTGAGGCTCATTTTGTCAAAGAGAGAAACAAATGGTAAATAAGAATATGAAAATATGCTCAACAACATTAATCACTAGGGAAATGCAAACTAAAACCTCAATGAGATATCACCACACACATATTAGAATGGCTAAAGGAATAGTAATTTTTAGAAAACTGATAATATCAAATGTTGTTGAGAATGAGAACCACTAGAAATCACACACATTAATGGTGGGAATGCAAAATGGGACAGCCACTTTGGAAAACAGTTTGGGAGTTAAACATACACTTACCATATGATCCAACAATTCCACTCAGGTATTTAGAGAAATGAAAAGATAGATCCACACAAAGACCTGTACGCAAATGTCCCAGGCAGATGTATTCATAATAGTCCCAAACTGGAAAAAAACAAACCCATCCATCAACTCGTAATTGAACAAACCTATTGTGGTGCATCCATACACCATTCCATTATAATACTTCTCAGCAATAAGACAGAATGAACTACAGATACACACATCTGCATGGATGAATAGCAAAGAGACTGAGTCAAAGAAACTTTGGCCAAAGGCTATGTAGTATACAGGTCCATTATGACAATCTCTGGAAGAGGCAAAAGGTCTGTCACAGAAGGCAGATCAGTGGTTGCAGGGGCTGGCAGCGGGGAATGGGGCTTAGGTACAAAGGGGCACAAGAGAACTTGCTGGGATGACAGAAATGCTCTGTGACTTCACTGCGGTGGTGGTTTCACAAGTGTTCACATTTGTCAAAATCCATCAAACCGTCTACCTAAAAAAGGTGAATTTTTCTGAATGTAAACCATATAGTCCTGCAGCTAACAGACTTTGAAAATCCAGACTCCTCTTTCTCCCGCATGTTCCCTTATGCAGAGCAGGGCCTGTTTTTGGCCTCCAGTGCTCCTGTGCACCGCACAGTCCTGCCCTCTACCTTGGAGCCTTTGTGCACTGCTTCCTCTCCATGGATTCTTTCCCATTTACTCTTCCCTACTGCTAACTAAAAAAAAAAAAAAAAAAAAAGACAAGGCCTGGCTCTGTTGCCCAGTCTGGAGTGCAGTGGCATGATCATAGCTCACTGTAGTCTCTAACTCCTGGGCTCAAGCGATCTTCCTGCCTCAGCCTCCTAAGTAGCTGGGACTACAGGTGGGTGCCACCATGACTGGCTAATTTTTTAAAAAATTTTTGTAGAGACAAGGTCTCTCTATGTTTCCCAGGCTGCTTTTGAGCTCCTGGCTTCAAATCATCCTTCTGCCTTGACCTCCCAAAGTGTTGGCATTACAGGCATGAGCCACTGTGCCCACCACTGAACTCTTCTTTATCCTTCAGGCTTCAGCTAACTCTCACTTTCCCAAAGTGGCCTTTTGTCCCTTCCAATCTAAATTAGGTATCTATTTTTACATGCAGATAACACACTTGCTTTTCCTTTCTTCTATTAGAAGGTAAGCTGTGTGCAGACGGGGACAATGCTTTGCTCATCTCTGGCACACAATTAGCTCTTAGTTTCATGAATTAATAAACATGGGAGGGATGTCCACATATTCCTCTCTAAAGTTCTGTATTACATGAATTTGTTTATCTACAAGCATGCACTACTTTTTTCATTTTCACTATTTTAAAACTACTTGTTAAGAATGGAAATAATTCAAAAGTACATAGAATAAAAGGTGAAAGTCTTCCCTATGTTTGTGTAGCAATCTCACTTCTTTTTAATAGCTATGTAATGTTCCAGAGTATGCTTATACCATTGAAAATATTACTTAATCATTAATTGGAGTTTTGGCTTCCCCACCCCCCACCAGTGTTTTAATGTTTTTCTATTTAAAGTGCTGCATTATACCTTGGCACATATTATGTGATTGTTGCTGAAGGCTGGATTCTTAGAAAATGCAGCTATTAGGAAATAGGTCGTGTGTATTTTAGATGTGGAGTTCATCTGTCTTATTCCAAAAAGATGTATGCAAATACCTATTGTCACTGCAGCAAATGAGAGAGCACATGTGGCCAAACTCTCATGAACTTTGCTCTTTTTAACTAACTGTGGATAGCATCAACCTTGCCAAGTTTCACCACTCATTTTAAAATGCTACCCATCATTTTAATTTCCATTCCCTGCAACTGAGGTTGTACATATTTTCTTTTTTTTTTTTTTGGTGGGGGTAGGGACAAAGTCTCACTCTGTCACCCAGGCTGGAGTGCAATGGCGTGATCTCGGCTCACTGCAACCTCCACCTCCTGGGTTCAAGGGATCCTTCCACCTCAGCCTCTTGAGTAGCTGAGGCTACAGGCGCATGCCACCACGCCCGGCTAATTTTTGTACTTTTAGTAAAAACTAGGTTTTACCATGTTTGTCAGGCTGGTCTTGAACTCCTGACCTCAAGTGATCCATCCACCTTGGCCTCCCAAAGTGCTGGGATGAGGTTGCGCATATTTCCATATGATTATTAGCTATTTGTGTGTCTTGTACTGTGAATTCCTGGTTATACTCTTTGCCCATTTTTATTTTTTGCTTTATTGATTTGTAGTAACTCCTTATGTATGTATGACATGGAAATAATCATTGGAAAGTTATAAATAACTTTTGGGGTGATGAGTATGCTCATTCTTCATTGTGGTGATGGTTTCACAGGTGTATACTTATGTCAAAACTCATCAAGTTGTACACTTTAAATATGTGAAGCTTATTGTATGTCAATCATATCTCAAAGTTGTTTAAAAAGAAAAGTTATAAAATTTGTAATATAAATATTGCCTCCCAGTTGTCCTTTTTCTTTAAACTTCACTAACTTTTTTCTGTCATATAAAAGTTTTATAGTTACATGTCAGTTATTTATATTTTGTTCTGGAGTTATCTTAGCTGTGTGACTTCGGCAAGTTACCTAACCTCTCTGTGCTTCAGTTTTCTTACATAAAACAAGGATAAGAGTACTTACTGCATAGGGTTGTTGTGAAGATTAAATGAATCAATACACATGAGAAGTTCTTAGAATGGTAATCACCACAGGACACGGTGCAATAAATATTAACTATTATCATTTTCTGTGATCTCAGATCTATCCTGCTTAGGGAAATGTTCTCTATCCCACTATTATAAGAACATTTTCCTTTATTTTCTTCTAGTAATTTCATAGTTTCTAATGTTTAGTTCTTTTAGTCCATTTAAAAGTTACCCTTGTAGATTGTGTGAGAAACAAGTAAGTAAAATTGTATTATTTTCCCAGTGGATAGACACTTGTTCCAATGCTATTTATGGCATAATCCATCATTTCTGCACTACTTTGAAACATCATTTCATTTAAATTATGAATGTCTATGTACAAGATGATTCCTATGTACAGATGGGTCTTTTGCTGTGTATGTTCATTCCTCTGCTAATGCTTTCTACTGGTAAATTTAAATAGCTTCTCTCCAGTTGTAATCCTGCCATAATTCTTGGTAATTTCAACATTCAAATAGATCATTGTCTGGTACCTTGGTGCTATGGTTTGAATGTTTGTGTCCCCTCCAAAATTAATAGGTTGAAACTTAATCCCCAATGTGATAGTGTTGGGAGGTGGGGCCTTTAAGAGGTAATTAAGAGGGCACAGCCATCATGAATGGATTAATGCCATTATAAAAAAAAGGCTTGAAAAAGTGGGTTCACTCTCTCTTACCCTCTAGCCTTCTACCACATGATGACACAAGAAGGTCCTTGTAAGATGTTGGCACCTTGATCTTGGGCTTCCCATCCTCCAGAACTGTGAGCCAATACTTTTTTTTTTTTTTGAGATGGAGTCTGACTCTGTCACCCAGGCTGGAGTGTAGTGTTGCCATCTTGGCTCACTGCAACCTCCACCTCCCAGGTTCAAGTGATTCTCATGCCTCAGTCTCCTGGGTAGCTGGGATTACAGGCATGTGCCACCACACCTGGTTATTTTTTGTATTTTTAGAAGAGACAGAGTTTCACCATGTTGGCCAGGCTGGTCTTGAACTCCCTGGTCTCAAGTGATCTGCCTGCCTTGGCCTCTCAAAGTGCTGGGATTACAGGTATGAGCCACTGCATGCAGCTAAATTTCTGTTCATTATGACAGGTATTCTATTATAGCAGCACAAAACAGACTGAAACATTTGATCTCTTGGTTCCTTGACTTCCTCTTTCACTACAATCTGGTCCTCCACCCTGCTTCATCCACTCAAAGCCATCGTTTTGCTGTAGATCTGATCATGACCAATAGCTCTGACATCGCTATAACCTCAGTGTAAGCAATTTACCTCTTAGATTGCCACCTCTAATGTTTCCAACTCATTCCTCTTTTTCTACTCTGACAATTCTTCAACCCACCAGGACCTATAATCTAGCGACCCTTCTACATTTTTATTGCCCTTATATTCCACTCTAACCAGCTTTTATTCTATGGTTCATCATTGTCATTCCCTTGCACACTTCCTCAACTCTTGTGCCCTTTACCTACTTCCTCACATCACTTGGGCAACTCTCGACCATCGTTAATTCCAATTGTCCATATGCTCCCTGCTTTTCCTGTGCAACTGAATGAGTTTGGAGAAAAGCACAAGACAGGCTGACCAGTCTCATCTTAAATTCATGGGCACTAGGCTCAAGTGGACCCTTGCTGTTGCAGGTAAAGCCCATAATCCATTGACTCTCCTCTCCCATTTAACACTTTCTTATCTCTCCTCAAAAGACTTGAACAACCACCTCATAAAATAAAATATCCAAATAGCCATGAACTGTAGGAAAATATGCTCAACCTTATTGGTCATCAAGGAAATGAAAATTAAAACCATGGTGTGGCACCATGATACATTCTTCAGAATGGCCAAAATTTAAAAGGCTCATAACAGTACCAGGTGGATGGGGAACAACTGGATTGCCCTTCTGTAGGAGCAGAAATTGGTACAAAACTTTTTGGTGCAAAAAGTAATTGTGCTTTCGAACCATGAATTTTAAATCATTGTAACTAGGCTCAAACACATCTTTATTAATCAAAACAGGAACCATTGCAATCAACACATTTTTGCCAACCAGAAATAAATTTATTCCTGTAGCATAAAAATCTGTCCTTTGGAATTTGACAAACTCTTGGAAGGCATTTTCTGCATCCTGCTCATTGTGGAGTGTCTTCCCTCAAAACGTTGTTGAGATGCTTGAAGAAGTGGTAGTTGGTTGGTGAGAGGTCAGGTGAATGTGGCAGATGAGGCAAAATTTTGTAGTCCAATTTGTTGAACTTTTGAAGCATTGGTTGTGCAACGTGTGATCGGGCATTGTAGTGCAGAAGAATTGGGCCCAGACCAGCAGCAGACACCAAACAGTGATCATAACCTTTTTTTGGTGCGAGTTTGGCTTTGGGAAGTGTTTTGGAGTTTCTTCTCGGTCCAACCACTGAGCTGGTCATCGCCGGCTGTCATATAAAATCCACTTCTCATGGCATTTCACAATCTGATCGAGAAATGGTTCATTGTTGTTGCGTAGAATAAGAGAAGACAACACTTCAAAATGACAATTTTTTTGGTTTTTGCT